TATCAAACAACCTTCTTCCTGAACGTCACGCTCTCACTCACCACAGCCGGCCGGAGCTTTGAGCCTCTGCTTTCTATTCAAGCCTACGTCAATTGTCGACCATTGTTTCTGTCAGCCCAAGGTCGTGCAACTCCTTGCCTGTTGCCTAGCAATGCAACTCTAAAGATATTAAACACACGCACACTTCAGCCGCCGAGACGAGAGGCGGGCGGCGACCCTCAAATACGGAAGGTCGCCTAGAAATATTGCTTTTTGCATGTAGGAAAAACAAATATGAAAGTGATGAGCGGTGCACGAAGACGGCGCTCCCCGTGGAGCTGGAAGCAGCGAGGGTTCACATGAGCCAGTAGAGGCGCCGTCAGACAGGGGGGGCAAAGGGCTGCTCTTTTGAGACAGACTAACTTTGTTTTTTTCTCAGGGGGCTTCTAGACAATCCTGGAGGATCTGCAGGTGCTTTGGATTTGTGATAACAAACTTCAGTTTAAATTTAAAGCTGTTATCAGAATTCACATCCAGAACCAAGTCTGACCTTTTGTTCTGTTGTTGCAGTGGTGACGCCGCTGAGGAATAAACTGAACGCCAACATGCACATGTGGTGAGTTTGACAACACGATCATTTGTTCTCCAGGTTGTTGTGTGCTGTCTATATTGATATATATGTATTACTTAGGACTGGGCACCCTTATACCATAACAATTATGGTATAAGTCAATTAGTAATTATTGATCAGCTTTTTGTTTTAAATACCTGAAATACTGCAAAACATTCCTGACATTTCCTGCTTTATCCACAATTTTCATTCTATGCAGTTATTTATTTTTAAGCGGTTATGAGGCACGATGGTAAAACCTTCAAATGCTGCTGTAAGTTATTCAACAGGTTGTTGCTTGGTTAACCAAAAACTTAGTGAGTCAGTTGATGGCGCCAATATTCCTTACCTGGCTGTGAGATGTTGAGTGGCTAAAGCCTGTCCTCTGCCTACATCTCCCAGAATGCTGTGCGGTTCTGACTCAGAGGAATTCTGTCTGACATATTATCTACTGATATTGATCACATGTGCATTGCAGTATTATTATTGATTTATTGCTCAGTCCTCTATTATATCCAGATTTCTGAGGCGGTCTTGAAAATTGTGTAGTTTGATTTTATTGTTTTCCAGGTCTGATAAATTAATGGAAAAACGTTTTTGAACAACTTATCAATCGTTTTGATAAACCCAATTGAAAATCCAAACAGTAAATTGCTATAATTTTTTATATATGTGGGTCTCAAACAGGACCCCAGGTTGTTTAGGTGTTCTGGGTTCAGTTTAGCTTCCAAACAAAGCAGCTAAAACTATTTTTAATTAAACAAATTTTAGGTTAATCCAGATTTTTTTTTAAGTATTATTAATTTGAGTTTATCTAACTTTGCCCAGGATTTTCATTATTTGCAGGAATTAAAAAAAACAAACAGATAAATGTTGACTTGATCAACCAATGTACTCTTAGGATTTTTAAGCTTTATTGTTGCTTATTTTGCTGCGATTGACTGAAATAAAGTACAGATTTTCATTTGCAATGCCCCTGTGAGGTGGGGCCAACTCTGTTTTACGGATGGGTGGCGCTCTGGAAGCCATGTCGTTGGTGAAGTGGGAACCAGTTCAGCTGCTTGGAGATTATCTGGTCATCCCTCAGGGTTTTAGGCAAAGAAAGGATGATTACTCCTCATTTCGATTCTAATTTCACCACAGGTTGCAGCATTTGCTCCAGAGCTCAGGAAGTTCTCCCTCCCTCTGTGTGGACAAACCAATGCTCTGCAGCCTTTCCATTTTTTCTCCCCCTTGTTGTGTAGCAGTGGTGAAAGTGTCCTAATCATCCCTCAGTGTCTTTGCAGGCTCATTTGCATGTGGTTAATTAGTGTGTGAAGGAGCTGTCTGTGGTTTGCTGGCAGGAACCCGGACTCCAGCGTCTTGAACAACCTCCGGGATGTTTTGGAGATCGAATTCCCGTCACCGGCCACCCACGAAAAATCTGTATGTCACACAGATGCACCCTTTTCCATTTCAAACATGTCCGTTCTCATCAGGATTAGCTCCGGGAGCTGTGCATGTTCAACTTTTAAGCGGGCGGATGTACACAACTGCTTTTTTCTTTCCATCATTTCCATATTTTTCTCTCCATGTTTTTTTATTTATTTATTTATTTTCTTTTAGAGGTGGGCACAACTGCTCCTTTAATTGGGTTGTTTACAGATAAGATCATTAGAATAACAAAGATGGCAGAATTCTGTTCACTATCAAACCGCTTTAATCACGCAAAACCATTTATCTCTCCTTTTTTTAAAGAAAAAAAATTATTCCTTCCCCTCCCTTCTCTGCGAATGGGTTGAAAGGGCGTTGTGTTTATCTGCTGTCGCCACGGTGATTAATGCTTCAGCTTCATTAACATTCAGAGGAGTGCAAAAAAGTTGGGTTGACCAGATGTTGATTTTTTTTTTTAAACCTGCCATCCTCTCTCTTAATGGATGGCTCCAGGGGAAGAGGGGGGGAAAAAAAAAACAAAAACAGAAGCTTCTCATTACGCAGAAATGCAAAGAGAGTGCCCTGAAGGTGTGATAGTGGAGCAGCAACAGAGTGCAGAGTGGGTGTTGCAGGTGATGCTTGGAGGTTGGTTCAGCATGTTTGTGCTCAGAGACTCTATTTTAGAAAGTGCCACTGGATGTTTCTGGGTTTCTGTGTGTGTTTGCAGAGTTTCAATGTGGAGTGTGGCATCTGTTACTCCTATCGGCTTGAGGACACCATCCCAGATCAAGTGTGTAATGACCCCCGCTGTGGCCAGCCGTTCCATCAGGCCTGTCTCTATGAGGTATGGAAACAGATCGACTCCATCACCAAGACTCTTGGATTTAGAACACCTTTCAAAAGATCTTCATACCCAAACTTTTACGCATCTTGTCCCTTTGCGGCCTCAAACTTTAATGCATTTTGCTGGGATGTAATGGCTCCAAACAATATTTGGTTGCACAAGTTTCAATTTATTATTTATTTAAACAAAAATAGAGATACATTCATTAAGTGTTGCTAAAATACTGAGAATGTCATATAGCAGGTTTTATATTTTACTAATCAAAACATTGGCTATTTTTTTAGCAATAATTTAAGTTATTTTGTAGAAATTGTTAATGAGGATGCTACAACCATTTGTGTGACAGATTCATGCTCATAATGGAACAGTGTGGTTTTCTGGACGTGACTCAGTCCACAGTAGTGGCATCACTAGGTATAACAGCTAGGGATGCTCCGATTAGGTTTTTGCTGCAGATTCCGATCACCCATGAGATCCGATCACCAATCGCTGCTGATCAACTGGACTGGCTGTTAATTTCTTGCGTTAGGTTACTATGTGATCTGGCTAAATTAAAAACATTCACCTAATTTTGACATAAATATGAAAAATAGTTGCAGGCACAATACATCGCTGTTAAGTCAAAAGGACAACAGAAAAACCTGCAATCAGTAAAATAATATTTAACACTAAAGCTGTACCCTAAATTATTGCTATTAGTCAAATAAATGCCACAACTCTGACTTTATCAAATAACGTAACAAATAATGTAAAAAAAAAAACAAAAAGAACAGGACACATTCACTCAAAGTTAAATGCAGGTTGCATCAAGATGCATAATGCAGTTACTAAGTGAAAACTTCCTAAAAGCACAGCTAATTATTTAGTGTTGATTGGCTGTTTCGGACTGAGTGGAGTAATTCTGCAGAACACAGCAGAAAGGCAGAGGCGCTCAATTATCATTTTTTCATTCAGAGATGATCTCTCTCATGTTAGGTTATAGCAAAAGTTTTAATAAATATGTAAAATCTTTTTGTTTGTCTAAGTTGCATGATGCAGCTTTAAGTAGACGTTTGGTGCGAGAGTTCACTGCGGGTGGAGGTCGAACGCCGTTGCGGCTAAAAAATATTACTACAAGTAGCGCGGCGCGGTTGACTTTAATTTTTTTTTCTGGTCATTTGTTTCGCTTTCTGATCATCATGATCTCCCGGGTGAGTGTTGGTAGTTGTGTGCTGCGTTACCTGGTGTCTGATCGCTCTGGATGTCTTTTTCTTTTTTCTGCAGTGAGCCTAGATATAGCCAAACTGCATCAAGTGTCTTAAATGTCATATTAGATTTATTGTGTTGATGCATTTTGACGTGCTTCACCCTGAGGTAATTTTCCGTTGCAACACGCAAACGTCCCCCTTCACTCTGACATTGAAGTTCCACGTGGCATTACTTAGGAGTTGATGCTGCGTGCTTTCACAGTAACCAGGAGTTGTAGGCAGGGAAGGTCAGTGTAACAAATCCAGAGGAGATGAAATAAACTGCTGAGGACCACAGCAATTGGGTTTTTTTAGCAGCTTGTGGTCAGTATTGGCACCTAATGCTGAAGTTCAGTCTTCAGAAGTGAAGAGGCATCACTCGGGTAGAGTGGTGCGATTTCAAAGCATAGAATAAACTTTCAATTGTAGTTCCTCAGCATTTACTCAAATTCTGCTTCTCTGCTCTGAGGATCTGGTGAAAGGTGGCAGGAGGAGCCCTTGTTCTTTGAAAAGCCCTCTAAATCATGATATTTTATATGAATATGAAATGATATTCATATAAAAGAGAAGTGCACGTAGAAACATGTTAATGTCACCATGTCCAAGGTGACAATTAGATCAACGAGTCTTTTCTTTCCTCCAGTGGTTGCGAGCGCTCCCCTCCAGCAGGCAGAGCTTCAACCTTGTTTTTGGAGAGTGTCCTTATTGCAGTAAGGTACGTGGACGCAGGCAGCCGACACAAAGGCCCGGCCTCAGCCACATACATATTCAGCAGCTACTCATATGGATCCATTCATCATCTGGCCTCGTCTTCTCAAAGTGGCTTCACATGCAGCTTAGTAGCTAGAACTGAGTTCTAGCTAGTGCATGAGATTTTTTTTCTTCCACATTTTTCAACTTTACAGATAATTCATTAATTACAACAAAGTGATGCATATCTTTGTATTTCAGCCTATTACAGTGAAAATGGCTGCCCAGAAGACCTGAGGAGCAGCATGAAAAGAAAATTACCTTCTACCTGCTAAATAAGTCACTTATGCTATTGAATTGAACTTCGGCGAACAATAAAGCAGCTCCCGCCAGAAGGATGAATCCCACACAGACAAACCTGGACTTCCAGGACTTTCTCTGTACGGTGGCAGGTTTGCACTCTGACATGGTCTGGCTGTACTTTGAATGGGTATGGTAGTGCTGCCCTCCATTCTGATCCGGCTTTTCGTCCCAGCATTCTCTGTAATCCCCATCATGCATCTGTCTCTCCCTGTCATACCGTGCCCCGCCATGGAGGCTGCGTTGATGTTCTCGTCTCGCCATGGTCCTGGTCTGCCCGTCTGTTTTGTTGTCAGGTCTTTTGGATTTAGTTCTCTGTTAAAAAAATGTATGAATATGTATATATATTTTGTACAGCTAACAAAAATCAAAATGGATTTTGGGATCAATTTGTATCTGGAGTGTGTATGTAGTTGTAGATGTAGTGTGGAACAGTCATCTAAAAAATGAGTCAGGAAAGTCTCTAAAAGCCGTTTGGCGGTGAGACTTCAGGCCTCACACCTGTTTGGGCTGATCTCCAGGGCCAATGGGAGGACCTCTCAGGTAGCATGCAGAAATAGATTTGGATCTGACATGCTTTCTTTCCTCCTCTTTCTCATCCTCCTCCTCCTCCTCACTGTCTTCTTTTTCTTCATACGTACATTCGAGCCTCGGCCTCAGAAAATACTTTCCAGGAGAAACCTCTTTGTTCTTGGAGGAAAAGGGAGAAACAGCAGGTTTTTAGTGTTTTACATGTAAAATCCAACACATATAAAACACTGAGTTGTATTCTCCAAAGTCTTCATTCTTTACAGAATGAAGACTCAGAGAATGAATCTTTAACAGAGACTCATTTTCTGTTGAAGCAGTCGGCAAATGGTTTGATGAATAGGTTCAGTTTTCCAGTTTCAGGTACTGCATATAAAATTGAAGAGAACATTGAAATATTGTTTGTTAAAATAACTAATTTAATCTTGAGGAGGGCTTATTCTTGCTGCTGTTCCCCAGCCACCCTGCAAGTTAAGTATAAAACATGCTGCTGGTGAAGTGATCACTGTTTTTGGGTGTAAATAAACACATAGAGTTCTGTTGTAAATATGGCTTTTGTTCAGTTTCCCTCCATAAAGCCAAAACACTGAAGTACAGTCACTGAGTAATTCGCCACATGCAGACACTATTGTCCTCCATGCAGTTGTCCCCATTTTGATTTGGTTTCTTTCACTCCATACCTTCACCTTCTTTCTTACTTTAAACAATCCTTTCATTTTTCAAACTTAAACAACTTTCCTACATAATAAAATTTTGTTTGGAGACACAAAAAACATAGCTGCCACTTTGGCTAAGAAACGAATGAACTTTTAAGGGTACATAAAACACTGTATTGTGTAGGGCTGGGTGTTGTTAAGAACCGAACAATCAAATTAAATTGTTAGGTTGTAATCAATGATTACATTAAAGTAAGGTGTCTGTTTCTAGCTTACCTCACTAGATTTAGTGAGGGGTGGGCCCCGTATGTGGCGCGCTGACACCGATTTGGACTTTGGGCTTTCCGGTTCTCCATCATCCAGCTCTGGAGTCATCAGCTTGAGTCTGGATGACCATTTGGCTGTTCCTCCTTTCTGTTGAAATGAGAGAAGAGTTGAAATATTAATACAAATGGAGTTTGCAACTTTCTTCAACTGGGCTTTTAATAACACTCCTTCACTTTCAAACTGTGATCGCCCATAAAAGAATCATATTTATCCAACAGTAATGGCAGACGATTCTGTGGCCTTTATCTCCACTGACATTTCCTCTCCTCACTAAAGCGTCAGTAAATGGCCACTTGTGTTTAACAAGGGATCAAACTGGCCAGCACTTTAGCATGGAAATGAAATGACACAAGAAGAGGAGAGGAAATTAGGAGCATAATTGGAGATACCCTCTGCCGGGTAAAGTGTGTGTCATCAGCTCCTTCTCTCTGGGCTGTTGAAAGGGCGGTCACGGGGCCATGCAGGGTCAAGAAGTGATTCTGGGGAATGCAGAGGAGGGGGCTGTAGTCTTCTTCCACTGTCAGGTCTGACCATCTTTCATTGACGTGCTCCTCTTAGAGGTGGAGAGGGGAATGTCACCAGAAGGTTAAACCTGCCTTTCACTGCCGTCACGTTTCTGCACTCTGAGGTCAAGAGACTCGGCAAAGAAAACCCTCAACGGCCAGCGGTGAGGTTATTAAATGAATACAAAAATTTAATTATGGTGAAACATTAAGCACATCCTTCTTTATGTCTATAGTTTGTGTATAAGGGTGTACTAAACAGAAAGCGGGGTGACCTCACCAGGTCTCCAAACCTTAACCTCTACTCAACAGCAACACATGTCACATAGCAGCAAGTAGTTATTTAATAAAAACTGAAATAAAGACTAATGACTAAAAAACTATGGGCAAATTAAGACTAAAATTCAGCCAGAACATAAAAGTTCTTCAGAGGGCTATGTTCAGGTCTTCAAAGATGCAGTGGGACCCTGTTCCACTTTAGGGAGTGTTGAGGCAAGAACAAAACTGCTGTCCTGTTGGTGTGTTGTCGCAATGGTTGTATTTTGGAATCCTGAACTGGGATATAGAAGATATAAGGTTGTAGCAATGGCAGCCCAATCATTTGTTAGGATTATATTGACTCCGCTAGTCGCTTGATGTCTAAAGGAAATACTGAGTTTGAACCTTTCAGGCTGTTGGAGAAAAGCCCTGCCACCAGATCATATTTACAGCTCTGTGAAGAGAGAAAGCTCTTGTGAATCAATTACATTTTTAAAGGCAACCCAGAGTGACTTATTTTAAATTGGAAGTGACCACTTGATTCTGACATATTGATCATAATTTCCCACATGTGTGGAAAAACATTTAAAGTCAGACCAGTCATTTTGTCATTCACTTCAAATAAAGTGTTTTATTCGGCAACTGTGAGGCCTTTTGGAAACTTAAATATTTGCTCATGTACTCTGCTGCTCCTCTCCTCTTATGCCTGTTTTCCGTCTTACAAAGGAGGAAATTGTGAAACAGAAAAAATAAAAAGCTTTCAGCTCTATATTGGTCCCTAATGTTCTTTTAAAAGCTGGTCATTATATTTGGTCAATTTGTGTCACAACTCTTTAATTCAGAATTGAGAAGGATGGAGCCTTTTGCAGACAAACTAGCAAAGAACTGCATCTTGATATGTTCAAAGACAGTCGTGAAAGCCCTGGGCTGGGATGTGGTGGGATCATAATGAGAATTTTATCAGTAAGCTCTTGGTGAATCTTTGTGTCCTCTAAAAGTGGGAAAAGAAACATTACTAAAATCTCTTACAATTTGAGTTTAGAGACATGTATGAATCCTGATGTATTGATCCTGATATATATCAAAATGCCGCAATGACCACTTAGGAGACACTTCACATAATAATTATTATTATCTCACTTTGTTCTCACCTTATCTCTTTTAGAAGACTCCTTGGCGGCTGACCTTTGGTGACCTTCAGGCATAGATAGGTCAAGTCCTCCTTTGACACTACACTTCAACAGCTCTTTAAGAAGCTTGTAGTCAGGCTTATCGTCATAGTCCAGAGTTCTCACGTAAATCAGAAACTCAGCTAACTCATCTGATGGCAGAAAACATCAAAAACAAGTTTAATGGAAAAATAATATGGACAACTCTGGATCAAGTCAGAACAAAGCAATGAAGTCATTTAACAGAACTGCACTGCTGTCAGGATGTTGATTCTCTGCTGTTTCTTCCTATGTATAAAATCATTTTCAGAAGTGAGGCGAGAACAACAAGCACAGGATGAACCTGAAGGTCTCTCGCTGCAGATAAAACACAGGCGGGCCATGTATCTCCTCACACACAGCAGATCTGGCAAGCGTACAGCTATGGAGGTGCATTGTGTCATACACTGTCAGCCTCGATGGATCACACACTGGCCAGGCGGTGTGTATGACACACTCTGCAGTAGAACCTGTATCTCTCCCCCACACACACTCAGGTGGTTGATGCATTCTTTGGCTCTTATCGGCAGCGGGCAGCCTGGCTTTGTCAGTAGATGAGCGTGCCGCTCTGACCATACATCACATGCCGAGCCATCACTAGGGTGTGACCTCTCCGTATAAAGAGGAGATAAAATACAACTAACTTTGAAAGGCATGTCAATGAGACAGCCGTTCGTTTAATTGGTACAAAGGGAAAATGGATTCCCAGGTAACAGAGGAGGGTTCTGGATCCAGGGGAGAATTTTCAGATGTAAAAATCATGTTTAAGGAAAATCAAACCATTAAAATGAGTTCTAACTCTAAACCTTTCAGGATCAAGAACATTCAGCACATTCTGCAGTGCTTTTGTTTCCATACATACTTTTAAGGTCCAGTGTGGAGAATGTCTTGTCAAAGGGGAAAAAACTGCTGCGTACTTCAGCCAACTTATTTAATTTATTCTTTCTTGTTTCTATTAGTTGAATGACCAACGGTGATTTACTTTCTCCAGCCTCACAAGTTTTAAGAGGAGCGTTAAATGAGCCTGCTGTGCAGGTGAGGCCAGTGTTAAAAATTACTTCAAGAAATGTTCGTCGATAACTTATGAAGCTAGTGAATGGAGTAGTAAATACTTCATGGTTGACTCTAAAAGACTGCATGTAGTTCATCTGGAAAGTATCCACAAAGCTCCACTTCTTCCACATATTATGTTACACCCTTATTCCAAAGTGGATTATTTCCCCCCCCCCAATTAAAACAAATTCACCACACAATACCCCATAATAGGTTCTGTTTTGTTCTCTTGGATATTTTTTTTTTCATTTATGTTTTTGGTTGAGGCATTGTGTGTCTGGACAGTTTCTCCCTCTGGTTTTGGTTGCTGTGCAGCTGGAAGGATGTTTGCTCTTAAGTTTTCACTTTCTGATAACCGTGATGCATTGGAAACAAGGTCTAGTTTTTTTACAATTGGGAGCAGCTCAAATATTACCTGAACCACGACCCCAAATCCCAATTATAAAAGGTGACTTCATGGATGCAGACCAGAGAGAAGGAGAAAGATCAAACTGCCTCCTCAACTGATCATAATGGACAAGGTTCATATCCCCAACTCCAACATCTCTGCCTGACTTTTTATTAGAGGAGCAGAAAAAGCCAATGAGGCAGATTAGTGGTGTTCTATTTTCTCTGCTGCCCAAAATTTGAACTATTAGCATGTCCTAACTGTTAAGAAACTGTGATAGCTGTCAGTATTGCTATCACAGTACTTACTGTGATAGCAGTCAGCCTTTATTTATTTATTTTTTCTAGAATAAGTATCTTTGGATTTGAATGGAATCTAAAAATTACATCTATAAAACTATAGTTACTCTTTGCCAAATTCAAAATTGAGCCGATTTTCACTGATCATGATTCAGATGTTTCTATAACCTGATTGGTTAAATGCTTGGAACATGATTTCACAGTGCAGTATGTGTCCTCTTGATGCCTGCCCCCTACCTGAAGTGTCCTTATTCATGACCTTTTCTTTAGATCCCATAAGATCAGCTCCAGATTAGACAGAGATGAATTTCCTCCTTTCCTCTGGCTTCATGTCTTACTTCAAAATTCTCAGTTTAAGCTGAGAAGTCTAAATGATGTCCTGTAACCTGAAGCAGCCCTGCAGCCTTGGCTTACCTGTGCTGGCTCCACTCACTGACAGCTGCTGAACCGAGTCTGGCAGATTATCCAACAGTCTAAGAGAGGAAATAAAATGAGGAAGAGATGAGGACACAAAGACGCGAGAGACAGAGTTCAGGGGCAAAAAGCAGGATGAGAATAAGGCAGCAGGAAAGGGGAGCTAAATCCCAGCTAAAGCAAGCTGTCACACAGAGTGTTCACACTTATCTGGGGTCAACTACACTTCCTGGATTATTAGTGACCATGAATATTTACACAGCTCTGCTGCAGAGCACGAGATATTAGCCTGTAAGCATTGTAATACAGCAGTATTACAAACCACAGAAACAGAAACGGAGTTAATTTAAAGAGATGGTAAGATGCAATAATTTCATACATATTTCGTTTGACAAATGTCTGCCATGAACTGCTTTAAATACCTCTGATAGCCACTAGAGTTTGATCCAGTAAAGATTAAAAAAAATGAACACAAATGAAGCTGCTGCATCGTGGAAACAACACAAATCTACCCAAATACAAAAATAAGCACTTGTGACAACTTACTTGATTTTGGCCTCTTGCACCTTCATGGGGTTTTTGAGGACGTCATCCCAGGGTAGTGACCCACATAACCAGTGAAGAAGACAAAACCCCAAGATCTGGAGGTCACCACGTCTTGAAGGCGCTATAAAACCGAAAAGAAAAGGTCGTCAACCCAAAGGTTGCTTACTAATAGAGCTGCAACAATAAATCCAACTGGCAAGATGAGATTTGAGCAACTTTGAGGGTACAAATAGAGTAGCTATTTTTTTTTAATATTGGCTACTTTTATATTTTTTTATTTTTTAAATAAAAGTTTAAAACAACACGTACTCCATTAATATACTATATATGTAATGCTTGTCTAATTCTAAAGTCTAGGACTAACTCATTTCAAAATTCTACACTTTAAGACTCCGATGTCAAAAATTTTATAGGAAATGTTGGGCAGAAGTAAAGTCACAGTTCTGTTCATTTTTTCTTTTCTTTTGATTGCTTTTTGCAATGAAAATGAAAGAATCAGTTTCATTTAAACATCTCTGACAAAAGTCGACATAATGATCTCACACTAAATACAAACAGCGCAGTATGTTTTTCTTATTCTGTAAAGTCAACTGCGGAAAACACCTCTTAAACACTTTCATGTTGCCCTGTAAAACTTTTAAAGTCGATATTTTCACAAAAAGTGAGTTTGAGAAGTGGCAATTTAAAGATGACTGATCTAATACCGATGGAATACTTATTTATTCAAGATTTCTTTTAGAAAATAAAAAAATAGTTAGCAAATTCATATGTTTATACTTTTCCAGACATGAAAAATGATTAAGTTAATTTGATACATTTGTAGTAGGAACCCTTGTAACAAGGTTGAAAAGCCAACAACCATTGAAAATGCTCTTTTTCTCTTACCATAACTAGAATAAAGGTTTCTTAGACCTCAAACTGCATGTTAAATCTAGAGGATCCCGTGGTGAAAAGAGACTCTGTAGGATATGCAGTCCAGACTTGAACAGTTTAATTATTGATGGATTGAGTGATGATCAAATGCAGATGATACTTATTAAAAAGCGTAGTTTCACACCAACAGGAAGATCCTTAGCATATAGGAACTCTAAAGATAATGTGCCTTTTTGTCTTAACTTAATTATCTTTGGGTCTGCATTTTAAATGCATGGTAATATTGAGACTGGCAACAGTTACTAACCGAACGGGTGAGTACAACAAAGATTTAAACAATTACACAAAATGTCAGGATAAATTGTTGACATCAGGCTCTTACAACTAATCATAAGTGTGTTTTTCCCGTCTTATGGTGTGCATATAAATGATTGCATGGATCTACATTTATGTGTGTGAGGTCTGTCAATACTCGGTGACCATGTCCAGTAAGGTTGAGCCTGGGGAGTTTTAGTAGCTCAATACAGTAAAGGCTGCCACATGTCTAGGGAGAAATTACCTATCGACTGACTCCAGCAGAAGGGAGAAATCACCTGCCTGAGCTGCTGCCAGCATTGATCCTCCCCCAGTCAGCCAGCAGGCTGGTCCAAAGAGGAAGTGTGGCCACTCGCACAGAGGATCAGATTATGAAGGCGGTAAACTGATTTTAAGTTGACGTATTTGTGAAATTAAAGTACTGTGATTTGGCATAATCAAGTTGTTGTCCTCAACATGAATAATGACTGTCAACTCCAAGTGAAATATGTATGTTAGCCCCAAACCAGAAATTCAATAAAACATGCTGAAAGTTTTAAAAAATGTTGGTTAAATATGATGTATGACAGAATATGTTTATATCTGCTATTGCAACAAGTTGTCTCCAAGAAAACGAGTCTTGGAGACTGGTTCACTGGACTGCAACTAGTTGTCTCTGAGACAACTGGTTGCAATAGCAAGTTGGGACTAGTTAAATAGTCATAGGCACAACAGTTTAAGATGACCTCCCTCTTTCCAGCTACATCCTCAAGTTTGGCTGAAAGATCCCAAGAATGAGATATAAAGACACAATATCTCAAGCAAGGCCTGTCTGCCCTAAAGTCTCTTTACAATGGGGCATATTTGACACACCTCCCAAGAAAGACGTCCTTTCAAGATCTTCAAACCATCATAACTGGCCCCTTTCATGCAGAAAAGAACTGACCTTTTCTCAGTCCAGCAAGACTAAGAAGGAAGGTCACTTAAGCAGCTTCGGTGTTGTAGGTTTAATTGCAACCTCCAGGATGAGTCAACAATCTTGGCAAAGTACCGAAGGTTCGGAGTTTTTTTCATTGTCTGTAACAGCTGAGCAGTCCAGTGACTGATGACTTTTGAAGATGCAAAGTCATCTTCAAATGACTTTGCATTCATAAATGCTCATGAAGTTGTTGCTCATATGTTGATGAGAATTTCTCTACATTGGGGCATGATGCGTTTGCTTTTTAGAAACCTTTAGCCTGGTTCAACCTGTCAGCTTCTTTACAACTGGTTCCTTCATTCTTCAGGTGTGGCAGTAATCAGCCTTCAAGTGGGAAGTGAAATAAACTCATCTTTTAAAAGAATGGTAGAGAACAGTAAATTAATTATTAAACAGGTCTTAGGACCAGGTTGTGTTAGATAGCTTCCCCTGTTTTCTTTTAAAATAGCGGAATTTCTGAACTACTTTTCATTATGTCTTTGTTATACAATTTCTTAAATTATCTGAAACATTTAAGTATGACAAAAGAGCAAACAAAAGAAATCTGTAAGGTAGCTTTTTTTTACAGCACTGAAAACCTGCTCTGAAAGAAAAACAGAGTCAACATGTATTATCTCCAAACGTGATACTGTCATCATCTCCTCTACTTGATCTTAATAATGCTGATAATAAGGGTCAGGTCTGTTTGTCCTTGTGAATTTAAAGCATGTATTATGTCCGCATTACAGTGAAGCTCTCCATAGTTGTAAATGATTACAGAGTGACTTAATGCTTCCAAGAGCCTGTTGGAGGAGAATAAAGATGAAAAATACACGTGATACTGACACTGGAAAACGGAGTCCAATTCCCAGAGCAACATAATGGATTAACAATTAAAAAGATCAACAGCTACATTAAACGTTGCTGCCCTCTGCGTTCGCTCTGGGCGCGATAACACTCCTCATTATGCCACTTTATGTGTCTGCTATTCTATATTTATGTACATACTTTCCCCTCATATGAAGAATGGCAAAGGACAACAAAAAGAAGCATGCCTGCATATGTGCATGTACAGCTTTCATATGAAACCTGAACACAAACAATCCATAAATACATCCAACGCACCGGCTGTGTTCCTATCCAGCTTTAGACAGTGAGCTGAGAAAACGTTGGCCGTGCTGCTAATTATCTCCTATTGTTATTCAGATTCCCTTAAGCACAATGCTGTGTCGCGCTCTTAACCCCTCTGCCTTGCAGACTTGTTGTTTGGAGACGGTCATCAGTCCGCTGTCCGCCCACCAAATGGCACTAATTACACCGTTTAGCTCCGGGTACATAGGTCTGCCACTAGCAGGATGTGCTCACCAAAGCTCATCATCAGCAACCTGACAACATCTTTGTGGGAATGAATGCCACCGGGTCGGTGAGGGGCAGATATGAGTCTGGTTCTTGAGCATGTTCTGTCTGTGTCTTAGCAGATTTTGAAAGAGGAAAATATCAAAGCACATTATAAAGCTTTCATTAGCTAGAATCTGACACTGTTCATTGAAAGTCTCAATTTTTAGCTGTTCTTAGAGCTCCAATACACACTAACCAGATGGAACATTGATTTATTTCCTTTTAAGGATCAAAAGAAGGAATTTAAAGACCAAATATAATTTTACAGCCAGAAAATTTAAATACTGAACGACATAAGGACAAAACAGGCTTTTTTATTGTGTTTCAAAACAGTCAAGAGGTGACCAATTGAAAAGGTGTGAATGTGGTGAGGACATGTTTCTCCTCTGCTACTGAAATCCATATCTCCATTAAAACAGCCAACGTTTTCTCAGCTCACTGTCTATTACCTTAAAAATAACTGGAAAACTAAATGCATACGGACTCCAGTGTTTATGAAAAATGACAGGTAGTGTCATTGAGAAATGCCTTACTTATATGTGTTTCACTCGTGATGATGTTACATCATCATGAGTAGAACATGATGATGTAACATCATGTAGTAAGGGACTTATTACAGGTCTAATCACCTGTGGAAAGTTACAAGCAGGAACATTTGAGAAGGAAAGATGGTAAAACTGATGATAAGCACCATTTGAAGAAGAGTCTTTTTCCCTTCCCAGTCCAGCATTACACCTGATGTATCTTCTTTACTTGAGTTTTTGCAGAGCTAAATGACTAATAGAAACCTTAAAATGGTAATTACTCGGTCAGAGTTGTTACAAACCCACAGAATCGAACTGCTGAGCGGTGGAGCTGGTCGACGTAGAGAGCACAGAGGTTATCAGTAGCTCAGGTCTCACGCTAACCAAACATCAAAGCCCTTAATTAATGGGAGGATGAATACAAGATGCAGGTTATGACTTCAGCTAATTAGGGAATTGTTGAACAGAGACAGAGCTGGGGAATTCAGTAGGGGGCATGGATGGGAAAATCAATGGTCAATGAGAAAAGGGAGCATGTAGGCAATTTGCCAGTTAATGTGTTCCCTATATCAGCTGGTGGAGGCAGAGGGCAAAAAGACCATTTTATTTGGAGTGATGAAGTAAAGAGTGTAAATAGACCAGGTTACAATAAAGATACCATTACATGAAATAACAAGTCATTTATTGTCCCTTAAAATAGTCAGCTTGACATTAACTTTGATATATGACCTCACACTGACAAACATCTGGGTAGGCAAGTGTAAAAAGTCAGAAATTAAATTGATAATTTATTGCAATAGCATTATTAGTGAAAACTATAAGACTCTTCCTAGAAAGTACATGAGATTTTACTTTATTTTTTGTTTAAAATTATATTTGTGTCAACAAATTTTAATTTTAATCTTTGACACCCCTTTCTACAGGGTAAGATAACGATGTGCAAAAGAGGTCTATCACTCAACTCCTGTCTTCATCCCACCTCACACTAAGAGACAGGGACAAACTTTTCACAACTGGAAATGAGGATACAACTGGCCGAAATAAATTGTGCAGTGTGTACCCAGCTTAAGATTGAGCTTTCTGGCTACAAACAGTCCAAAGGGGTTTTTGGCATTTTTTTTTCAAAATACTCTTGACAATACTATAAGAATACATGGCATCATAGCACCGTCAACTCTTAGAAATATCAAGACGTTTACCTGCTTCTTACAACCTATTGGGTTCCTCAAAGGAACATTCTTGGTCCACTTGTGTTTTCCCGATACGTGCTCTCAATAAAACGGAAATCAAACCACTAGCTGTAGATTGTGGCTGTAGATGTGTGGCTGTCTGTGGAAAACTTGAAGGTGTGCTGTTGCAAACTTTTTGAAATCTATTTAGAAATTTTTCCTTTATGTTTTATTAAAAACTTTAATATATTAAATTGTCTTTCCACAAGGTGGTATTTGTGTAAAGACAATGATTTACACAAGGATTTCTGTAAATTCTTCTGTAGCCTTGTGTAAATCATTGGCCAAAGATTTAAAGCAGATATTTTGTGTTCGTTAAAGTCGTCCAATTAAACATTATCATCTGGATGCTTCACACTGTTACCCTTTGTCACTCCAATCTTTATGTATCTTCTTTGCTGCATGTAAAATTTGACCTTGCATTTCATGTGGGCCTCCAATTATTTCTAGAGGAGTTTGCAGGTCTGGTCAAGAAAGAGATCAGCAATTTAGCGATAATGTCCATGGGAATTAATTGGATGGCTTACCAACTCCATTGTGGGCATCAAGGCTGGTGTACTCAATAGTTCCGTTGTGGCCCTTCTTTGGGTTTTCCTTGTATTCTTTATGGAAACCATCAGGGGCATATCTATACGAGAGTCCATAGTCTGCAAGGTAAACCTGGAGCAGTAAACAAGAAACAGGCCTGAATGTTGCAAATGCCACTTCCAGCTTGGTAATTTTAAACAGAGTCTTGAAGAAAAACAGCTGAGTTTAAAGGATGACGTAAACCTAGATTTTATTCTACAAACACCAATCAGTTATGTGACTGACCTTTTCCGGGTCTCTGTAACCCAACATGAGATTGGCAGCTTTGATGTCAGCGTGGACATACTCGTTTTCGTGAATATACTCCAGAACATCCACCTGACACGGACACCAAAACACAACCAGCAGCATTAAATTGCTATCTTTTTAATGCACTGCTCTTAAGAAACAGTGCAAGATCTTGGCACTTAAGACTCATACTTAATTACTGCAACACCAAAGAAAAGACGACATGACAGGTCCCTCACCAGTCTTCTGCCAAGCTGGAATACGGTGCTCTTCTTCAGCCGACCTCCGTTGTGCTCACAGATTTTCTGAAGGTCACAACCCAGCCGGTCCATGGCCATGAAACGGTATCTGAGTGGGAGGGGAACCAGACTGACTATTAATACCGACTATATGTTCTGTTTGAACCCAATAAAAACAAACACAGGCTTTTGACGATCTTTCAGCCTTCGAAAATGCTGCTGGTATTGTGTTCCTCGTTGAAAAGCTTCATCTTGATTAACATTGCCCAACTATAATGTAATAAAAATGGAGCAGCATTGAATTATTCAACTTATTTCAAATAAAGCTAGCTGCTTGAAATGTTTCAAATAAATCATTGCATTTCAAAATTACATCCACTCCTCAAGCTCATGAGGAGTGGATGTAAACATTTAACCAAAACTCAAGCTGCTCCAGCCGTGTGTTTGATCTATTTAAGCCTTTTATGTAATAATTTAACATACAAAATAATTTTTTAGTATATCTTATTTTGTTATTTATATCTGCATATATAAATAAAATTGATATATCTATCAATATCTATATATATTGATACACAATACTAAAATTTTTTTCCAAATTCCAAAACAATTATTGATGAGAGGTCAAAGTAAGTTTATATTCATTAAAAAAAAAAAAAAACTAATCAAATTTTGAAATCAATTTTGGAATAATCCTGATTCTCAGTCTCAGTTTTCGTACCTATTGGGCTGCTCTCCACTAGTCATCAGATTACTGTTGGGACTCAGGTGATCCCCCCCTAATTAGTACCTCATTAAGTAGAGTGATGTATGCTTGTGTTGGATCTCAACAGACAGTCATGGAAGAGCTGCAAAACTTCTAGAGTTGCTAATTTCATAGAAAAAGGAAAAGTAGTATGGCTTAGATTTAAAAAGTCTCATCTGAATGAACTATGCAACATATTTGTTCTTTTGAGACATTTTGCAGAAGGTTTGTTCTTTTATTTATGGAGTTCCTCTTCAAAAATCATAGTTTTATTGTACTGTAAAAAAAACTATTTCATTTGTTAATTTAGTGAATGTTGTTTGGCTTTCAAAAGGACTCATTTATCTACCGAAGGTTCTTGTATTCAGCCTGTCCTGATCCCCAGTACGTTGGGATACCCAGAAAGCTCAGCTTCTTTCCTTTCTTCCATTTTTCCACTGAAAGAATAACAAAAGAGGAGTAATTATGAGTTTGTATAACTGAACACTTCTGTTAAAACACTTTTAAAGTTTGCCATTAGAAAATCTGAAATCATAGCAGGAGGCCTGGTGACCTGCATCAATTACCTGGAGTTAGTCCAAAGGAAATAGCTGCCAACTAGAACTTTTTATTCACTTATTTCTCCCAGATTGCATGGGTCTCCTAAAGACCCATGCAGTTTTTTACAGTATTTGACAGAAACGTTTAACTCTATAAAAAGTACAACAAGCTTAATGCATCCTAGGCATAACAAAAAGTAAGTTTGCAGGGTTGCATTTACCAAGAATTAAAAACAAAACTACTGGTTATAATAAAGTTTTAAAATTAGATGAGTTGCATACAGTTTTGAAAAACACATTATCTATTTATAAAAGCCGGATCAAAATGCAGGGACAAAACAACGAATTTGTCCCTGCATGTCTGAAGAAATGAGCACACAAGCAGCAGGCTGAAGACTGCTAACACACAAAGAGGCCATAGACAAAGTGGTGGCCCCGGCTCAGAAGCTTGATGGCGGCTGGCCTGACTGGCTCTCAACCAGGCTGGCAGGTGGTCAGGGGCTCTGTGGAGGCCCAGGCATCATTACAAGTGAGTGGCTTTCTCTCCTTTGCTCCTCTCCAAACGCAGGGGTTGGAGAACTCAGACAAGCGTAGAGAGGAGGACCCAACTGCCATTGGGATGCGTGTTTGCTTTGGTTTGTTATTAATTACTGCGTGCCCGGCAGAGAAACCTCTGCGTCTGCAGCCACTTCATCAGTCAAACACACTCACGCCCCGGCGGGCTGCCGGGACGCGGGACTGGTTGTGCTACTCACCGCTCTCTGGTTTGGCTGCTCTCTGGTAGAACTTGAGCTCAGAGAACAAGGGGCCATTCTCATAATATTCCTGTAAGCACAAACACAGTGTTGGCCCTTTTTTCATTCAAAAGTTAAAACACTACATTATTCAAATAGGCCAATTCAAGTGACTGATTTTTTCTTAAATAAGAAACATTCCTGTAAGACAAGTACAAATTAAATATTTGTTTCTGTTAATTTTTTTTGTTTGTTTGTTTGCAGTGCATTGCGGAAGTATTCATAATCCCTGACTCTTTTCAATTTTGCCGAATAGAAACCTGAATGTATTTCACTGGGATTTCATGTGATAAACATAGAAGTTATAGAAAACCAGCAAAGTGGAAAGAAAAGGACACATGGCTTTAAAATTGTGTTTCAAATAAAGTCTGGTGACTGGGAAGATTAACTAGATAACCAATTGCCTCCAGAAGTCATGTAGACATTGTTTGGTTATTGAAAGAAAAGTCCAGAGCTGCAACAATAACTTTCATTTGTAAAAACTTGAGCTACAGTTCAACAAAGAATCATACTGATTTTCTGTGTACTCACCACTTTTATGACAAAGTCTGTGTCTGATGAAACAGGCTTGTTTATATCCTGGGAGGCTAATCAATATTGCAAAAAATGGTTGCAAACAATTAATAAATACATGCAAATTGAAGAAATTATGTGCGCATATACAAAGTGTTTTCAAATAAACAGTTTAATTATACCCAGATAAATCAGTCCAAAGCCTCCTTGACCGATGATCTTCCCCAACCTCCATTTCTTTTTCTCAGTGTCTGTCAGTATGAAGTCATCTGGGAGGGGTTTGGGCAAGGCACGCTTCCTTGGGGCTGCCATTACATCTGAAAAAGTTTCAAACAACATTTCTCAATGTTAAGACAAGCTTAATGCATCCTAGTCGTAACAAAAAGTAAGTTTGCAGGGTTGCATTTACCAAGAATTAAAAACAAAACTACTGGTTATAATAAAGTTTTAAAATTAGATGAGTTGCACATAGTTTTGAAAAACACATTATCTATTTATAAAAGCTGGATCAAAATGCAGAACTACTGGCTAAAAAGTGAAACCACAGATCAGTGTTGAAGTAGGAAAAAGACATCATCAGTGTCCTGGTAAAAATAAGCAACATCCCTGCAAATTCACCCTAAATTCAGATTGAAGTTCTCAGAAGTCCTACATCTTAGACTCCATTTCCTTAAGGAGGAATACTGAATGTTAAAGCTGATCACAGAACACTTAGACAAAAAACCTTCTCACAAAACTATTATCCTAAGTCCAGCAGTAGACACAATCAATAAGTTTTTTTGAAAGTAGACCTCAAGCTACTTTCAGAAGGATACTTGCCAAATGGGACACATTTGTTTGAGAGTCTGCAGGCTACAAAAAGTAATGTCCTACCCATAATGCAACCATGTAAAAATATTATTAATAATAGAGAATTTGCCTGTAAAATGGGTAAGTAACTGATCTAATGACTGAGGACAGATTTTTAAGCGAGAGTTGGTTGTTATTAGGCCTGAAAAGGTTGACAAGTTTGAAATGGTTGGAGAAGAGAGCCTCTTCTCTCTCAATATGGTAGCATAAGTTGCTACCATATCTCAACATAAAAAATCTCAACATAAGTTGAGATTTTTGGCTATAATTGTCCCTATAAAGTCACACAGATATAATTAGTTTCTGAGAAATTCTATCCTAAATATATCAATCATGCTACAATCATTGGTAATAATTGGTAAGAAGTTATTAAAAAAAGCCTGGATGATTTTTCTGACAGCAAATCAAAACAAACTCCTAAGCCCAGAAGTCAAGCATGGAGTTGTGGGGGTGATCACTTGGACTTATTTTGCAGTCACTGAGTTGAATATGAACTCCTGTGTATTGGCCGAATGTAAGGCCTCCTGTCCAATAACTGGAGTCCAAACTGTGTCATCAACGATTCAGAAAACTGTATAATGGTAGAGGTGAACAAAATCGAAACTTCTGTCCATCATAGTTCCCCACAACGACGCAAATGTTTATTTTCAGCGTCCATGTCGGTGTTTAGGTCAGAGACCGTTAATAGCAACACGAAACAACCTCACCGGATTAGTTTAAAGTGTTACCACACCGACAACTATTCACCGTCAGCTCAGATCTCAGGCGATTGTTCAGGCAAACAAACGGTCGAGATACAGATGAAAATCAAAACTACGTCGATTAGAAAACAGAGAGCTCTGGGAAATGATTTACCTGTTGAAAGTTTGCACCTCCGAAGGTTTTAGAACCCAACCAAACGTCCGTTATCCGTGTCGCCTGGCAACCCCAACGACAATTCGGTGAAACTAAACGTCTGGAAATCTAATGAGTGAGGCAGAAGCATAAGGTCTCAGCGTTCAGAGATAGTGAAAATGAAAACTATTCACTTCCTGGACGTTGTCCCTCCCACGGCACCGCTCAGCAAATCACGTACAACCAGACCTTTGTCAATGACCAATAGCTTTAGTAGAGGTCTAGGAGGCGGGAGTTATGCAAGTAAACTTAACTTTTTCAGTTATTGTATTTGCTATTTGCTGTTTAAATCATCCTGAAAACTAAATTTTAATTCCAATGTATCAAAATCAGCTTTATTTGCCAAGCTTGCACAATTAAAGAATTTGACTGCAATTTTGATTTGCTCTCTATTAAGACGTTTAAAATATAAATATATACAAAAAAGGTAATAAAAAATAAATAAAAGCTTTTTTCTTTCTGTACAGACAAAATGAATGGCATCAAACTGAGGAAGAAACTCTGAAATGGCTGGATTTTACAAATAGTACTCTGGAGATACAAGTTTAAAAAGTCTGTTACTTTTTTAGGCTACTCCAGGTATGTGTTTTCTCTGAAATCATTCTTTTATTAAATTATTTTCTGTACTTACAAAATTGCTGCTGTCGCCTACTGCATATTTGGATTAGAAGCACAAGCGTGACAAAAAGATAAACATCCATATGCAGGTACTTTTTCACAGCACTGTATACGTTTAAGTTTACAGAAGTTAATATATTATTTGTACACAGAAAGTGGAATTCCCTTTCACAGAAATTCTCCTACTAGTCAATAACAGGCAGCTTGCGTTTGTGGAAACAGGCCGTAAAATGGAACAGGAGGAGGTGGAGGATTGGACCTTCAACGCAGCCTCTTGTATACTGCTTATTCAACCTGCTCACACAGATCAATACCAGTTTGTTTTCAGGAACTCAGGCGTCCCTGTTGTAACTCGGTTTGATCTCCGTTTTGCTGAACAACATGGTCAATACCTCGACTGGCTAATAGACACAGGTGGGGAGAGTGGAATGCGATGGACACAAACTCACTCATCTCTCTCTTTACTCTGAGCTCTCAGAAATGTTTTATTCTGATAAAAGGAGACAGAAAACTGCCTGCTTTGAGGCTGTCGATCTGCCGATACTCTCAGGGCCTAATTTAAGTCTCACAGATTCAGTTATGAAAGGAAGAAAATAATGCATCACTGGATGAACATCAGAAAGGTAAGGGAAAAACTAAGTGGAACTGGAACTGCTTTTCAGTGAAGATCAGCCCTGAGTCATGTGCACTGTTTGTCTGAAGATCAATGGGCAACACTTACAATGAATGTGTCTTAATTACTCCTCTAAAGAGCCAATATTTTACCTTAATACCTGCTATTAGTAGAGCCAGCATAAAGTGACTACAGAATGCTTTTAATTATGTAGCTATTTTCAAATTGTTCAGTTAAATTCATTTCTTCTGAGGTTTCATTTGTGCCTTAGCTCAGTTTGCTTTTCATTTAAGCATGAGCACAAGAGGAATGGGTAACTTTTGACAACAAATTTTCTGCCTTGTGGTTGAAAACTAAACCTCATTCCTTGACCATGATGGAGTTTCCAGTTTGGACTTTTAAATGACATTTGCTCCACTATAAACTGGATTGATGGAAGATTTACATTTAGATGGAACTAATGTTATTATCAGCAACAGGCAAGTCAGCATGTTTAGAGATTTCTTGCCTCTGTTGTGTTTTTTTAGTCACACTTCAATAATTTATGTCTTGGCCATTGGTGATATTATATCAAGGTAACCTAAGTAAATAGAAAATAAAACTTTTAAATGATTGAAAATACTCTTATCCTATTGGAAGATATTGGGAGATAGGACTCATTTGAGCTATATTATATGTGACAAAAATAAAAAAAACAACAGAAAAAAAAACTCCAATTGGACAAAAATTTGCATGACACTGTACTGGTTTTAGCTGGACCATCTTGTGATTTGTTCTGTCTTTGAACATTTCAGTACAACTTGTGCAATTTTGCACAAGTTTGCACACACACACACCTCCTCCCCCCCCCCCCCCTACACACACACACCCACACACACACACACAAAACTTTTAAAACTTCACTTCTTCTTGTTGACCCATTTAAGCTCATGTCAGCTATAGCCAAGGAACCAAAACAGTATATTTACAACAAAACTGCTGCATCTTAGGGTTTCAATCATTGGGTCTAAAAACCTAACGTGGAGATCACATTCAACGTGTATATAAACCACTTGTGCCATCTTAAAGCAACAATGTTTAACAATATCCCTTCGAAAAGAGGTCCATATTTTTGACTCAGCTGTAAAATACAACTTAGACCATCTGTCTTTGAATAACTAAACAAAGCTTGATGTTAACTATGTGCCCAATTGGATTCAAAAAGAGTAAAGGCTGTTGACTTTATTGGGAGCAGCAGGTGTTAAATGGCTGAATAAACTCTTTGCTCTTCTGTAAGACACTGCTGTACACCAAACAGATCCAAAAGTCAACCGTGTTGACTTCGACTCGTTGATGTCACTTTGACCCAGGTTTTGACCCTCATCGTCTTCCGTTTTTCACCTTCCCCTCATCCAGTTTCTCTTTTTAGATCTCTCTTTTGTTGCTCTGATTCTGCCACCTCTAACACAGGGTAATTGTTCAGCGGGTTCGGCGGCTCTTGCCGAAAGACACTGCAGCATGTCCTCTCGCCACCTCTCATAGACTGGGATCTCTGACACCAATCTTAGCGAGGGCGCGACACCATTTGGTGTAACTGGCCCTTGTGAAGGAGATGGTATAATTGTCCTAATTAGGACGGGGGGAGATGATCCGGGCGGTCGCGACTCTGACCCAACCCGGTCTGAGTCCATATGGTGGGAGGCTCACAATGAGCTGGTTAATGTGGTGTGTCCATCAGGACGAAATGCTCAGTATGAATGACATACTAGAGAGATTGACAAGTTTTAACACTTTTTATCATTTCTTTCTGTCTCAAAATGTCACACAAACTCTAAAATTTTACATTTTCTCCCCAATAAAAACAGAATCTATTTATTCCGTATATGTTTTTAATTACACTCAACAGCCATACCTGTTAGCACAGTAGTGGGTGTTACATTTTAGCAGTAATTATGGACATCTTGCCCCCTTATCAAAAACGACATTTTCAAACTATTTCATTTTATGAATCATTTGTTTTTCTCGCCTTGACTCTGTTGGCGCCCATCAGCAGCTGTGTCACTATTTCATGCTGTGACTTTGTTCCCTTTATGAATATGAGATGTAGTGCCAGTTCAAATGAAAGTATTATAAATCTAATGGCCAATAATGAGATGCTGTTTCACTGTTATCGGGCGTGGGTTGTGTCTATTCCAGTGTGTGTGTGTGTGTGTGTGTTTTGTGTACAATTTGATGCTAATAAAACCATACTTTCTGCTCCAGGGAGCAAGCACTGACCAGGATTCAGATTAGGCTTTAATGGCTCCCAGGCCTGAGGCTAAATTGAAATGTAAAACCCCAAACCAAACATCATTTGGTTCTTGCGTTTCTTGATGTGGCCTCGCAAAGTGAAAATTGGAGACATGTTGCTGTTTAACTGTGATTTGCTTTCTTTTATGCAAATATTGACGCGCTCCAAAGGGGCTCCATGCATGTCTGGATTTATGACGGTTCGTTTCAGTTAATCTGTATCCACTTAGCAGCTTCTTCCCTGTGAATTCAAATGTTTAAGCACATACTGGCAGCATTTATTAAAAATTTTTTGGGCCATTAACTTTGAGAAATTTCAATGGAATTTCTTGTGATACAAATAGTGATCTATAACTGTGCTACGGAAAGACAAATTTACATGGTTTTCAAAATCTTCTGCATTTATAAATCTGTTTTTGAAAGTGGATTGTGGTTATTCATTCAGCATTTGCACTGACAACCGTAATTAAAATTCGGTGAATATCTTTAATAGGGTGCACTACAATTACTTGACACACCTTAAAAACACACACCTTAAAAACGTAAGGCAGTTCTGAAGGCAAATGGGACCCAATCCAGTAATGGAAAAGTGTACCTAATAATTTGGCCATTTTACATGCCGCGGCTGTCCTGGAGCACTATTGATTTGATATGATATAAAACATTGGTTTCATTGACTTTACATGAGACTTCATTAATTATTTTCTATATAGATCTGTCTTACATCCCATATGGTGTGCTTACTGTAGCATTCCACTCAATAATGCACCCACACATGATATCAGTAACCTCCAAGAGCATTAGTTTGATGCATATACCCTCTATTGGTTTCTTTCAAGCAAAACAGGAGCTTCGTATGTTAAAAGTCAGAACTACTGATGGAGTATAGTGGGCATAAAACAGGATTTAATTCTGTAGTGCCAGAGTTTCTTATGCAACTTAACATTTTCCTTTATTGGTCCATAGGGACCTTAGCAGTCATAAATCAACCAAAACACCCAGCAACACTAATTTTGTCTTTAATTGTAACAATGTGTCGTGATTCATGTTCTAATTGCTCCTGAGGGGGGTTTTAGCTGATGATTCAGAAATTATTCAGCACAACACGGGGTAGAAAATGTAAATAGATTTTAATTCTTGACCCAGTAATAAAAGACATCCAGTTAACCTCATACAAAAAAACAATTTTTGTGTGACTTTGTCAGATATTCAAACTATATTCTTAAACTTGAATTGTCAGGAGGAACATAGATTTCACTATTGAAAATGAACTTACAATAGTGAGTCCAAGACCGGTGGGGGGTGACGGCATGGGGCAGATTTGTAATCTAACTTATTTACTTCTGAAATCAAGTAGCCAGTAAAGTAACTAAGTTACTTTTTAAGGAACTAATCAGTAATCAGTAGTTGGATTACTTTTTACAGGTAACTGTGGCAACACTGGCATCGGTCATTTTTTCTTAAACATATCAAATCGATATCAAAGGTTCGCTAGTGCCTTTGCACTCAGAGTCTGAACTTTCAATTACAAACCTGAAGAGTAGAAAAAAGATACAATTTCTAGATGTGA